TCAATTCCAGTCAAGGGCACGTGCCTGGGTTGTGGGCTTGATCCCCAGTGGGGAATGTGCAGGAGGCAGCTGATCAATGATTCTCTCATCATTGATGTCTCTATCTCTCCCTCTCTGAAATCAATAAAAAATATATATATTAAAAAAAAATCACATAACCCTGCCTCGGTGGTTCAGTGGTAGAACGTCGACCTATGAACCTGGAGGTCACGGTTCGATTCCATGTCAGGGCACATGCCTGGGTTGTGGTCTCGATCCCCAGTGTGGGGTGTGCAGGAGGCAGCTGATCAATGATTCTCTCTCGTCATTGATGTTTCTCTCTCTCTCTCTCCCTTCCTCTTTGAAATAAATAAAGATATATTTTAAAAAAAACACACCATTGCCCTAACCGGTTTGGCTCAGTGGATAGAGCGTCAGCCTGCAGACTCAGGGGTCCCAGGTTCGATTCCGGTCAAGGGCATGTACCTTGGTTGCGGGCACATCCCCAGTAGGGGGTGTGCAGGAGGCAGCTGATCGATGTTCCTCTCTCATCGATGTTTCTAACTCTCTGTCCCTCTCCCTTCCTCTCTGTAAAAAATCAATAAAATATATATTTAAAAAAAACACCATCATATAAATAAGTGGTTGCTTTATGTGAAATTACAAAGGAGATGTACTTGGGAATATGTAGGGAAGAAGGGATTTTTTTTCTTGTTTAGAGATGCCAGGGAAGCCTTCTAGAGGAAATTATGCTTAAATTGAAAATTTACAAATGAATAGGCATTACCTACGTACAAATGTATGGTAGAGAAACTGCCTGTGCAAAAGCCCTATGATAAAAAGGAATAGGGCAAACGAACAGAACTAGAAATGTGGCTGGAGTATAGATAATAAGGGACGGTATAGCATGAGATGAAGATAGAGAGCTAGGGGTTAGATCATGTGGGTCTTTATGAGTCATCCTCAGGATTTTTTTTTTTCCTAACCTAGATCTTCGATTTTGAAACCAAATTTGGACTCTTGACTCTGGAACCCCAACTTCCTTAGCAAGTTGTTCTCTGGAATCAATCCCGGGACACAGGTTGTTGGCAGCGCCGTGCTGAGGGTGCGTAATTGGGAGGAAGTGCAGCTGGTACGGCACTGTCTACCTTCTCTACTTTGAGTCTTCTCTACAGGGTGACCTTTGCCCTGGCTTGCTTCTAAGTCCTCCTCAGGTTGTGATCTTCTCTGGACTCGGTGCCTCGCTCGACTCTAAAACCAAATCTGGATTCTAAACTCTTCAGTGATTTCTAAAGCAAGCTGGGTAAGGTTTTTGGTTGAATGCTTTGATGAGGATTTAAAAAATATAGAGAGATTTTTATTGATTTCAGAGAGGATGGGAGAAGGAGATAGAAACATCAATGATGAGAGAGAATCACTGATAGGCTGCCTCCTGCACGCCCCGCACTGGAGATCCAGCCCACAACCCCAGCATGTGCCTTGACTGGGAATGGAACAGTGACCTCCTGGTCCGCTGAGCCACGCCCCAAGGGCTTTGATGAGAATTTTCAATTGATCTCCTGTGGATTCGGTGTGGCTTCATCTACCATTCATTGCGGGTAGTCGGGAGTGTGAGGGGGCCA